GACTTTTTTATATTAGATCTATTATTAGTTGATAAAAAGTGGAAACTATATTGTAGAAACTATAGCAGGTATATCTGTGGGAAAGATCACTGAAATACACCAAGGTGCGGGAAAGGAGGAGTAAACATTTCCTGCACTCCGTGTCAGTGGGTCTCCGCGAAGTCCAGTCAACGGATCCCCTCTAGAACGGGAGTAGGAATCGCTGTATGGAGTCCGCCAAGGACCACAGATGATGAAATCCCGTAAGAAGTGAATTAGATACTGTACAAAGTATCCGTTGAATAAGAGCACATAGATACATCCATGCAGACATGGCCTTCCATATCTGCCGATTTACCCATGGGAGCGGTGCAGTCCGAACAGTGGAGTCCACCAGTAATAGATGGAGACCACTGTTCGGGGTGCACCGCAGCCCCCAAGAACACCCGACTCCGCAGAAACAGAAAAAAACAGAAAAAACTCCCTCAACTATGCATTTTCCGCACTAGATTATCATGGGCTGTGGCGCAGTCCAGGCAGTGGGTCCCATCCAGAGATGGGAACCACTGCGAGGAGTGCACCACCGCCCATGTGTAAAGAGAATAATTGTAATTGCATCTTAAAGCATCTATATTTTGGTTCACACACATGACCGGATATATACCGACGACAGCGGCCCAGTGCAAGGATTGCAATCCTCTAGCCTGAAGATGGAGAGCAATTCTCGCAGTGGGCCACAGCCCATAAGTCAGCAGATCCAGCGGGGAAAGAATCCCTCATCTGTGTAGGAAAATATATATATATATAAAGAGTAGTGCCATCCGAAAATGGTAAGACTTGATGAAAAAGATGGTAAAGCAAAAATATATAATAGAAATAGAAAGGAGAACATCGAAGACGACAGGGGCACACCATGCAGGACTTTTTTTAAATAGATGTTTGTTGGTAAAATGCCCACATCAGGCGCCTTCTTAGGCCCTGTGTATAAGGGTTTCCCCCCCCCCCCCGCGGCGGTATTTCAGAGGTATCTTTGAGATAGGATGGTAAAGAGATTACATGGAGTCTAAGGTGTTGGTCGACCATGCGACTGGCCAGTTCAGTGAGGCTACCTACCCATGAAATAATGGGTCTACCCGTAGGGGCCACAAGGCTTTTGTGAGTCTTGGGGAGACAATAGAATGTGGACATGCGAGGAAACATTATATCTAGATATTCGTAAGTTTGTTTATTGATTAGGTCATTGTTGAATGCCTGGTAAATTATTGTTTTGTATTCCGCATGAAACGACGTAACTGTTTCTGCGCTGATTCGTAAGTACCATTCAGAGTTGGAGAGGATCTTGTCTCGTATTGAGTTTTATTGAGTGCAACTACATTACCCCCTTTATCTGACGGTTTTATAACGATGTCCTCCATCGTAGATAGGCTTTTTAAGGCCTCATTGAGTGGTTCAGGTAAATTGGTAGTTGAGGAGTCATTGGACAGAGCCTCAATATCTTTGATGGTATTGTGGAGGAAAGCCCATATGTGTGGGTTCGATTGTATAGCTGGAAATTCCGTGGATTTCTTTTTGAAAATTATAGGTTTGTCCTCTATTGCTACCCCAGAGTGGCTAGCCTCATCCTGTACAACATCGGGCATGGTTCCCTCCTCCAATAATTGCATAAGGTCCCTCAGTTCTCCTGTACTTTCGACATTATACCGTCCCAAGATTGGAGCCAATATTCGGCCATAATTTGAGACGGTTCAAAAATCAAATTATGGAGATAGTACTAATGAAATTTCCAGATTACTACCAAAGTAATTTGTAAATATAAATAGTTGAGTTGGAAGTTGTCAGTGCCTTGATTGAGGTCAGAAGGAAAAGGTGTTTGCCACCAAAAGGTAAATTGATTTGAAAAGACAGTGACCTGGATCAAGGCATAGGATGCCAACACCCCTGAAAGTGGTATATCAAAAGTGGTAAATCAGAAAAGTTGGGGTTTTTTAGGCAGCCGACTGACAACTTGCACACCAAGATTTTTTCATCTTTATTTCCTCTCTTATCTGGCTGTGCAGTCATCTTTTCCTATATTACTATTCTTTTCCTAGCTCTCTCTTTTTCAGTACACCATATCATGCTTTTTTCTCCCTTTTTTTTTTTCTTCCTTCTCCTCATTACTTATCATTTCTTTTTCCTCCCTATCCCTTACTATATCCTGATGGGGACCCCGGCCCTAGGAACTGGCAGAAAGGGTGCTGGACTCCACAAACCAGAAACACTTCCACCATGTGTTCCACTGATTTTACCATCTTTCAGAGCGCCAGTATTCTCACCACGCTCCCTGGCGATTTTCACAGGGAGCTGTTCCTGGCTTGGATCAGGTGACGATGTGATGACGTCACCACGGGAGCGCCGTTATTAGCACCCACGCGAGCCCCCAGCATCAGTGTACAGCCTGCAGGGGCTGTATTAGCTGCTGGGGGCGCGATATCGAGAGAGAGGAACGGTTACCTTACTACGCTGACCGTCAACGTTTTGTATCTACTCCCAATCTTTTGCGAGTAGTGGTATGTACTTATTTTAAGCACTATATCCAGTAAGGATGAGAGGGTACAGTGGCTTGTTTCCACTGATACTCAGATTAGTTTTATGTTTTCCTTTGAGGCCCCAAGTGGTACGCTCTAACTTTCTGATTTGCTTTTCTAACAAGGTACCCCCGCCATCTCCCGATTGGGTCTGCCTCCACTGGGGTCTGGGGCCCCTTTTTCATCCTCTTTCCCTTCTTTCTCCCCTCCCTGCCATTTGCTTTTACTCTTTCACGGTCTGAGCCAGGGGCAACGACTGGGACGCACACAGACTCCAAGGGTAGGTGATATATTTATATACATATATCTACCTGTGTACCATACCACGAGACAAGTTCAAGTGGCTATGTTTGAAGCTCAATTATGTTTATATCTTCTATATATATTTTCTCTAAACTATATAGACAACTTCCCTCTTCATCTCCTGAAGAAGCGCTATCTAGTGCGAAACGTTGAGAAAATCAAGCTCCTCCATCGTCTTTCATTATATTAATCATGTTATGTATTTATAAACTTTTCAATCATGTTTTTTCAATCATGTTCAATTGCACAAGAATTCTGATTGTCATCTGTATATGAATGAATTTAATCAATGTGGAGTGAGCTCACAGGGGAATCATGTTGTCAATTTTATCAATTCTATTTGCTTTTTAATCAATTAAAATATATTTTTTCAAAAATTCTTGGTGTGCAAGTTGTCAGTCGGCTGCCTAAAAAACCCCAACTTTTCTGATTTTTTGATATACCACTTTCAGGGGTGTTGGCATCCTATGCCTTGATCCAGGTCACTGTCTTTTCAAACCAAGCATACCTTGTTCAATTATTTTACCTGCAAGGACTGAAAACATCCAAATGGGCCCTTGCTCTCTCCAATAAACTTCTTCTCTGCCTATTCCATTTTGCAGAAGACTTCAATGAGAAGAGGACCTCTTCACCTTTGGTGGATACACCTCATATATACTCTAATAAGGCTGCTGCTTTCCCAGTGGTTGCCGTCTACCTCTTTCCGGACTGTACATATGAGAGACTGCTCCCTTTGCTGCTCTCCTCGCACTCTTTTGTGGCCCATCCTAATGTCTACCTTACTGGCTCAGACACTCAAGGGTTGGCTAAGTTCCTGGCTCAGAACTTGATGATGAGGACCACAATGTGTGCATTAAGGTATAGCACAGCTAGGGGACTGTGTGAAAGGGTTAGAACCTCTGTTAAACGTTTATCACTGTATTTGTTCCTATAGGGAATATTTCTCTTTTTATTTCATGTCCTGCACTTAGGATGTCACAGGCACAGAAAATTATGAGAATTGTTTGCAATGGCAATGGAGATTGAAAGGAAAAAAAATCTCTTAAGACAGTGGAGGAATCTCCAGCTGCCTCCAGTTGTAACTATTCACTAAGTAGTCTCCACATGGTATAAGTCAGTGTCTTGTAACATGCATCTGTCTTTCATATGATGGCTTCTTTTACTGTCCATCTGTCTCTTGTAACATGGCAGCTTCTCTGTGAAGTGTCAGCACTGTGGAAACAAGGTAGCAGCAAATGTGAGTCATGGATAGGATTGTGGCTACAAACCACGTGGACTGTAATGTGGGGGTAGCTGGGTTCAAACTAAAGTTGTGGTTTGCTAGTAGCGTTGTGAGGCACAGGCAGGTGTGGTTTGCAGGTCTACAGAAAGGACATCTGCATTTGTCACTAGCAGAGACAATGATAGTTTCTTGCACCACCACCTCCAAAGGCTAGTAAGTTCGGGGATTTGTGGCATTTGTTTTTCTTTGTGGTAAAAAGGTCTGGGCACTACATTTCAACAGAGTCCCCAGGTCATATAATTCATGTGTACCAAACTTTTAAGTTAGGTTTTGTTTGTTTAATTAATGCATGCAGTGCAGTTGGCCAGTAGCCTTTTGCTTGTAATCTCTGCATTGGCCTCATCACAGAGGTCTTGCTTGTTGTAAGGAGTGCAGTTTTCTGCAATCTTTTTAGGTTGATTATTAGAAATGTTTAATACTTTGTAATTGTAGCATAAGTGCCAAGTTGTCTTAGGTTGTCATATTATTTAACAGCACAAGAATGGGTTGACTGTCACCTTGTGCCAATTTTCTCACCAATTCATAGTTTTCTTCAGGATATGATTTTAAATGGTCCACACTCCTTTCTGGGGTTTGGTCCCTTTCACCCTTCATCACACATGATTGTTTCTTTTAATATTCTAATTGTACTCCTGGTTGCTAGGAGAAAGATGTCTCTATGTTCCAATTGTGTTGGCTTTTCGTGGTTTGTTTTTTTTCATTTGAGTTTTAGTTGTTTACTTGCATTTTGTATTTGTTTTCAAGAAAGAAAAAGTATCTGATCTAAAAAAAAAAATCTATATATTATATTCTGCTATTTTTGGTAAGCTCCTTATATTTCCTCACCCTGTTTTGATGGATTATCACTTGCTACCCTTCCCTTGTGATAGAATCCCGGTGTGAAAAAGAGATGGATATTAGTGGTTATGCCATGTGCCTTCCTAACCTTACCCGGCTCCAGACCTTCCCATTTATAGAGCACAGTCCCATATTCTGCATAGAGATTAAGGTGAGTGGACTTCTAATTCTAAAACTGTAGTATTTGTATGTGTTGTAGGATAGTTTCACAACTGTCTGGCTGTAAAAATATAACATGTTAAATGTTGTAAAGCGCTGCACAAACTGTTGGCGCTACATAAATCCTGTATAATAATAATAGAAAATGCTAATCATATTTGCCTTGTTAAATGCTACTTTAGACAAATATACATGAATTGCAGAGTTAATCAAATGTGCCATTTTAATAAATGTATGCATTTCACTTGGTGTCTTTTATATAAATTGGCTCTGAGACTAGTGAATAATTGTATCCAGAAACTCATTTTGAGTTTTGTGATTAGCGGGGAATGTGTGAGGTGCATTGATTAGTCAAGTTAATTGTCCGGTCCATAGAGAATCATACACTTCATGAAACATTGTTTGCTTAATTGCTTGTGTTTTTTTTTTTTGCAATAAACTGTGGCAAGCAATGTGTAATTACTGTTGACTACGTTATGGTAGTGAATTAATTTTGTGCAGTGATTATATCTTCCTGGCACTTTACTCCATTATCAGCACCATAGGCAGTTTACACTATTAAACAAATATAGCTAGGGGACAGTAAAGAAGGAGAGTGGGTTTTTGAAACAGAAACGGAAGAGACATGCAACATCTCTAAAAAAAAACGAAAAACATTTCATTCTTCTAGCAATCTACACATTTTGTCTGCCCCAGTCTTAGTAAATTCCCCTGATTTGAATTTAGTAACTTTGCTCTGTAGGCAAAATAAATGTAAGCTGCCACCAGAAAGCCAACCTCCCTTCTACTAATGCTGCTCACTTTCTGACTTACAGCATTGGAATATAAACTCTTTTAAGGTAAATCAAAAGTGCATACACTATGACAGAAGGAAGGAACAGCCTTGACATTTTCTCTCCCGTTCATTGAAGGACACAGGGCAACAGATCATAGATCCTGAAAAGTAGGGTGTATCGCCACTTGCAGGAGTAGGACGCTAGGCACATAACAAAAAGACATAGCCTAGGGGCGGCCCCTGCTGGTGGCCCAACCCCACACCTGCTGACAAGTCTCCAGTTTTTTGCCTAGCGTCAAGAGTAAGGAGCTAAAAAATTTTCTCTCTGGCAATTTTATTTTCCTTCCGTTTTTTCTCGGATCTGCTAGCAAGCGTCACCAGGGCGACATGCTGGATGGTGATGGATCCTTGTAGTCTCCCCTGGGTGGCCATCGAGCGCATGCAGGCTCTGCCTCGGCGGGTCGGTTGCGACTTTCGTTCCCCGGGGTGCACATGACGGGGTCCCGGCCCACCGGTCACAGCACTTCCATGGGCTGGCGGCGCCGCGTCTTTGGGAGGAGCCTCTGTGGTGCAGTGGGGGGCTGCCTGGGCGCTCGCGGCTACGGCCGCGGATGCCGCGATCATGCGGAGGCCAGGCCGAAAATTGCGGGCTCCGGGCGACGTCACAGCCGCCATTTTGGAATAGGGCAAGGTGCCCTTTCTGCCGCGTTACTTCCGCCCAGGCTCTCTTCATCCCCGGACGGCCGGGGACACACTTCCTTTCGGCCTCAGACGCCGCTACAGGAAGGACATAGGGGACAGCTCTCCCTTGCTGGGGGTCGGGCGTTGCCGGTGCTTGACACAGTGACACAGCTGGGGGTCGTGAGTACTGCGGGTGGTCTCCCTCTGGCCTAGTGGTGATTCTCTGGTGGGCAGATTTTCTGCTGTGCGGGGGCTATGGATCGTAAGGACGATCCCACCGGGTTGCCTTGCGAGGGCTGTGGCCTGCGCTCTGCGGACCCCTCTAGGCCCCCTAAAAAACGGGTTCTGCCCATGCCATCCCCGGCATTGTCTGGGGAGTCCGAGGAGGAGGGGGAACTTCCGTCCACGCCGCCTCATCCAGATCCGGGGGACTCCTCGCCATCTGACTCGGGCAGTGAGGATGAATCTGCTTCGGCGCTCATGGTTCAGGAATGTGAGCTGGTCTCGGCGCTGGTGCGCGCCGTCCGTGAGACGCTTAAGATTGAGGAGTTTTCTGGCACTTTTGCCATGGCTTCGGTACAGTTTGGAACGCATAAGGGCAAGCGTTTCGCAAAGGTGTTAACCTACATTCCTTTTTTTGACTAGTTAATTTATAAGGAGTGGAAATGCCCGTCCAAATCCTTTGCGGTTCCGAAACGTTTTTCGGCTCGCTATCCATTTGAGGAAAGTTTCCTGTCCAAGTGGGCCACTCCGCCTGTGGTGGACCCCCCTGTTCTCCCGCTTGAACAAGGTCACTCTTATCCCGGTTAAGGATTTGCCGTCCTTTAAGGACCCCACCGATCAGAAGGCTGAGGCGGTGTCCCGCACCTTGTTTTCCGTGTCTGGGGCCCTGATGCGCCCGGTCCTGGCGTCTGCCCTGGTTTCGCAGACCTTGACTGAATGGGCGAAGATGCTTCATCAGGGGCTTGCGGAAGAACAGGTTTACCCCCGCCTGCGTGGATTTGGCAAAGCAGCTGGTGCAGGGCCATAAGTTTGTGTGCAATTCGGCCCTGGATGCCGCGCCCCTGGTGTCGCGGGTGTCGATGACGGCGGTCACCCTTCGTTGTTTGTTCTGGCTGAAGTGCTGGTCGGCTGACCAGGCTTCCAAAAAGGCTCTGACGGAGCTTCCCTTTTATGGGGGACCGCTTGTTTGGAGCTTCCTTGGATGAGATCATAAAGGATCTGACGGGGGGTAAGAGCACTTTCTTACCTCAGGCTCGCAAGAGGGAGCTGCGGCGGAAGCCGGGCCTTCCTTTTCCGCTCACAAGCGGCTTTTTCGGCCCCCTCCGTCCTCCGAGAAGGGCGGTAAGTTCCCAAGAGCCTCTTCCTCCCAGCCTCACAAGCGTCCCTGGCAGCCGAAGTCTGCCAAGCCCGCTGACAAAACCCAGTCCGCATGAAGGTCTCGCCCCGACCCTGGGTTCCAGGGTGGGGGAGGCGCCTTTGGCTTTTTGCGGACTTCTGGTTGGCTCACATCTCAGACACCTGGGTTCGGGAGCTGGTGTCCACAGGTTACAAGATCGAGTTTCTATCTCGGCCGGGTCACAGGTTTTTCCCCATCCAACATGCGTCTTTCCCCTTCCCGCCTGGCGGATCTTCATCGCACAGTGGCGGACCTCCTGTCCCAGGGAGTTATTGTTCCTGTTCCGTCCTCGGAACGCTTCCAGGGGTTTTACTCCAATCTGTTCACTGTGCCCAAGAAAGAGGGGGTTCGGCCCATTTTGGACCTCCAAACTCCTAAACACCTTTTGTGCGGGTCCGTCGCTTCCGCATGGAATCGATTTCTATCTGTGGTGACATGCCTTCGTCTGGGGGACCTGTTGGCCTCCATCGACATCAAAGATGCCTACCTTCATGTGCCTATTTGCGCATCTCATCAGCGATTTCTTCGTTTCACGGTGGGGGACGAGCTTTTCCAGTTCGTTGCGCTGCCCTTCGGCCTTGCGTCAGCCCCGCGGGTGTTCACCAGGGTTCTGGCGCTTCTGCGTTGCCGGGGAATTTCGATCATGGGGTACTTGGACGATCTGCTCCTGCGAGCGGAGCCACGTTCCTCTCTGGTGTCGGCCTTGGGGATCACGGTGTGTTCCCTGGAGGAGTTCGGCTGGATCCTGAACGTCCAGTAGTCTTGCTTGGTGCCTTCCCCTCGCCTAGAGTATCTGGGCCTGGGCCTGGTCCGGAGGGTGTTTCTTCCTCCGGACAAACTCCAGAAGCTTCACTACCATAGGTGGGGTTCTAATTTAGCTGGCAGGCACCTCTAAGCCAGCTAAATTAGGACCCCACCTGGAGCTCCTCCCACTGGACCAGCGCTGCCTCTGACTCGTCCCTGCTCTCTCCAGGACAGTGACTCACAGTGAGTGAGGGCAGATTTGGGGGGGTTTATTAAGCAATTATGTATAGTCTGCACTGTATTAGCAGTATATATTCTATATAGAGTCCATATAAAGTACATACTGCTAATACAGTGCAGACAATACATAATAACATGAATGGATTAAATGATCTGTATGTAGCCCTGTACTAGGGATCATTTCACCCATTCATGTTAGCAGAGGATAATTGTAAATGTATTGTTGCAGGCACTCTATATGTAGATGTACTATATACTACATATAGAATGCACTGAACAATAGATTTACAATTATCCCCTGCTCATATGAATGGGTTAAATCAGTGTTCCCCAACCCCCGGTCCGCGGATCAAATGGTACCGGGCCGCACAGTCTCAGTGCGGTCCGGTCATGCAATATATGGCAGTGCACGGTCCCGGTGTTCGAACACCGGGGCCCCGCACTGCCGACGGGCTTCACAGTGAGGGGGCGGGTCCTGTGACTCTCACCTCCCCTCCCAGCCGCGTCTATAGTAACAGGCGGCGGGAGGGGAGGTGAGTCACAGGAGACGTGTGTGTGTCACCCGCCCCCTGCAGTCAGTGCACACATCGACACATGGCTGCTGCTCCTGGAAGGGTGAGTCTGAGCGGGGGAAGGGGGGGAGGTGTCTTACATCATGTCATTAGACGTGGATTATAATGGTGAATATTACACTGTAATGTTCCCTATTATAATCTATTTATCTGTTGTGTACTGCTATTTTATGTAATTAGACAAATGGATTATAATGGGGAATATTACACTGTAATGTTCCCTATTATAATCTATTTCTCTGTTGTGTACTGCTATTTTATGTAATTAGACAAATGGATTATAATGGGGAATATTACACTGTAATGTTCCCTATTATAATCTATTTCTCTG